ATCGGATATAGTTTAGGGCAAGGCCACGGATTCCATAATGTGGGAATTTAAGTAAGAGGTAGTTATGGTTAACAGTATCAAAGGCCTTTCTCAGGCCGATGAAGAGTTCAATTGGAAACTCACTTTTGTCAAGGGCTGAGAAGATTAAGTCAAGCAGACTAACAATAGCATCATTGGTACTCTTTTGGGAGCGGAAGCCAAACTGACAGGGACTTAGTATATTGAATTTTACAAGATTGGAGTAGAGCTGTTTGTAAAAAAAAAAAAAAATAATTTTGATAATATAGGTAGATTCGATATGGGTCTGTAATTATTTATGTCTGCCGTGTTACCTCCTTTATGAACTGGCGTTACTCTTGCTTTTTTAAGGATATCAGGGAAGGTATGACACTCTAGGGATTTGTTGAACAGCAGTGCTATGGATGGTGCAAGGGCATGGGAGGCACGCCTGTGTACCATCGATGGTATTTCACTAATGTTCCCAGCTTTGGTTTTTAGCGAGTGAATGATGGACACAACATCTGTAGGGCTGACCGGAGAGAGGAGAAGAGAGTTTGGATAGCTGCGTGAAAGATATGTGGTAACATATGTCTGAGTCTCTGGGATTTTTCGGGCAAGGTGAGCACCAAACGATGAAAAGAAGCTATTAAATTCAGTTGCTGTTTCAAGATCTGTTGCAGGTGTATAACCATCCTTGGAGATTTTTATCTTATTATGTAAATGTTGTTTAGCTCCTAGGATGGTAGAGATGGCTCTCCATGTGCTTTTTATGTTGCCTTTTGCTTCTTTGAATCTATTCTCGTAATAGGAACGCTTTGCTCTTATTATACTGGTAAGCACTGATGCATACCTCTTAACTACTTCTTTTCCAACTAGGCCAATCCTAAGTTTTTTTTCATATTCATATTTCTTGTCGATTGCTTTAAGTATGCCATTAGTGAGCCAGGGATTATTTAACCTTTTTGCCAGTTACTTGCTTGGTGAGGAGAGGACAATAAGTATTGTAAAGGCTTTAAATTTTGGAAAGAGGCTAGTTAACGAATTATTATCCTGTGTATTGATAAATTTAGATTCCCAGTTTACATTGTGGAGGGCATTTGTGAGATTGCCTATTGCCGCTTCACATTGTAACCTAAAGGTAATTTTCTTGTTACCTGGTGGTGTTATGGCCATGTTCGCTACAAGGAAGGTAGGATAGTGGTCAGTTGTTCTGTCAGTGATTATACTTGATGTAAGAGGAGCTGTTATGTTGGTCCATCAGTGATCCAGGGTAGTCGCAGATGTTTGAGTGACTCGGGTGGGCCTGGTGATTGCGGGGATGAGCATACAGGAATTCATGCTGTTGAGGAAACAGTCTACTTGAGGGTTATTTTGTAGCCCTAGGTCAATATTGAAATCACCTCTGAGAACTATGTGATTTTTGTTGAGATTATTGTTTATGATAAGGTTCCTCAAGTTGTTATTGTATTTGTGTCTAGCTTCAGACACAAGCATGTTACAGTTATGTCTTAAAGAGTTGAGAGCAATTAAGGATGATAAAGAGTCACTTACAACTAATGTATCAAGTTTGGATACTTGTACACATTTCAGTGCAAGGAGCAAGGCAAATAGTTCAGTCTGAAGGGTAGAGGCCCAGTTGTTTATACGGACTCCCCACTCAAAATATAAGTCATATCCTATTGCCAGGACAACTGCACTTCCAGCTGCACCCGTTGGGCGCTGTAGGAAACCTTCAGTGTATATGATTTGAGAGAGAGAATGCTCTGTGGACAGAGCATCAATATGGCTTAAGACGTTGAGCTTTGCCTCAAGACAAAGCTGGGACTGATCTCTAATTTGCTCCTTTGATGGAAAGGGAGGGATTAAAATTGAAAAGGGTGTAATTTCCTACAGTGCAGGAAAGTGCTATTGTTGTCTCTCTTGGTACAAATTATAAATCTGATACTTTCTGAGTTCAGTTCCAATTTTATTTATCTATTTGAAACAATGTTTACATTCAATAAAGAAATTCTGGAGGGCTTCTGTGCAACGGTTAGGATGAGCTAGCCTAAGCATTTTTATACCAATTTGACAGTTATTTTCAGTAACACGATAAACAACGCTCGGAATATTAAGTTCCTTTCTCATATTAAGTATCTTTGTGGTACGAAGGCACCCAAGGATTATCCTCAAGGCTTCGTTCTGCAATTTTTCAAGCCCTCCAAGCTTTCTTTCAGGATGCCTTAAAGTTAGTTTAGTTCATTTATTATGCACCCCATACCCATCTTGTGGGCGGTAGTGGAAAGGGTTGCAGAGGCACATAATGGGCTCAGGGACTGAACCCAACAATTCATTTAGCTAAGCAAGTTACAATCTTGATGAGCTAGTTACAAAATTCAGTATAAGTCGTCACATCAACAATAGGTTCGAGATCGATCACAAGTACAGTTTCTAAATTAAGCAACTGACATATGTGGAGAGCTAGTGTCACAATTGATATGTTTGTCCTGCACACCGCTCCCCATCCAGTGGGCAGCGGTGGATAGGTTACAATCACTTAGTTACTACTTACAGTTAGCAAACTGGGGATATTTGGCTAAAATTTCTGGTACCAGATCATTTTGAATGAAATATTGACACATCGTTGGTACATTGGTTATAGAATTGTCTCTGAATTCACTATCACATAGTGACGAAGGGGTGTGCAAATAATTTTGTTGACAGTTAACATTTGGTCAGGTCTACATCGGCAGATAATGAGAATTCCCAGAAATACTTGTAACCGAGTCTAAGCCGAGCAGTAGTAACATCTAGAAGTCTGCTGATTTTATTGGATGAACTATAGATGTGTGGCTCCTTTTGCATAATAGTATTGAACGAAAGTTAATCTCCCCAAACACTTTCGCGTTTTGGGCAAGTTACCCCTCCACTCTCTCCATTTTTGTTTGGACATTCCCTGGTAGTGTGCGGAAATACTGAAAAGTGTATACTCTTTTCAACTTTGTCACCTTAATTCTCGTCCTATGTCTTTCATTTTGGTATCAATGCGTTCGCAATAGAATTCCCAACAGAACTATGTGCATATAATGTCAAAGACAGCAGCGCGCTCCACCCGCCGACAAGATGAATGTAGGCCAAGGGTACCAGAAAAAGAAAGCTGAGCCACCCTCAGGCAACTCTCATTACATTAGAGAGTGTGATAATACTGAAAAGTGTATACCCTTTTCAACTTTGTTACCTCAATTCTCATCCTAGTTTTTTCAATTTGGCATCAATGTGTTCGCAATAGAATTCTCTACAGGACTAAAGGCATATAAACTCCAAAAGCCCGGCTTACCATCCGCAACAAACAGAGTAAGCGAGAGTGTGTTACCAGGGAGCGCACAAGAGCGATAAAATGTATACACTCTTTTCATTTTGGTCACCCCAATTTTCATCCTAGGTCTTTCATTTTGGTATCAATGTGTTAGCAATAGAATTATCTACAGGTTTAAATGCATATAAACTCCAAAAGCAAGGTGTACCATCCGCACAAAACAGAGAAAGTGAGAGAAAGTAACCCGGGAGCACTCTAGTGCAATGTAATGTGAACACTCTTTTCACTTTGGTTACCTCAATTCTCGTCATATGTCTTTCATTTTGGTATCAATGTGTTCGCAATTGTATCTGCTGGCATTTTACCCTTTGCTTGGATCTGAAGGGTTTTAGGCTCACCACGATGCAATCTGATAGTACCACAGGTGTATATACCTATCTTCAAGCAGCAATTCACTCATTCAAACCGACTTATAATAGTTATCCATATATAAATGGTAATCTTTGTTCTACCTGTTAACCTGTCATATGAAGAAAGATTGTCAAAGCTTATATTACATTCTCTAGAAAAGCAAAGAATTAGGAGTGACATATGGTAGAGGTGCACAATGGGATGAATGGACATAACAAAGGGGACATTAATGGGGTATTAAAAGTAGCAACACAAGACAGAACTCGAAACAAAGTGTAAAAATTGGAAAAATTTAGATTTAGGAAAGAACTGCATGAGTAAATACACTGGGTTTGTACCTTAAGGTTCATGTATGCAATATTACAGAGTTCCAGTTAACTCCCATGCATGCAATTACTTTATGTTATGTTTATGTTTTTTATGTTAAAATGTTTTTGTTGATTTGTTTGTATATTTTCATAAGTAAAGCATGCTTACCGTCTTATTCCAAGTTTTATGATAACTTTACAAGGTTTAAAACATAAAGTTCAATATATATTCTGGTTTTCACACAGGAATTATACGTTAATATAACATCATAATAACGTAATGATGTCGTGTAAATAACGTTATACTGACGTCATATAAATGTTATATTTATGTTATAAGAACGTAAATTGGATAGCTTTACAGAAAGTAAACAAAAAAAACTAAATGTTGACTGAAAATTATTTATTCTTAAATATAAAGCATGAAAACATTATAATACCATAGCATTCACTATTATTTTTAAATTTTTACATAAATCTTAAAAAACTGTGTCTCAAGAATATATGTTTTTAGTTATATCCTTTGGTTTTAAGAACATCAGATATACGTATTTATGTCAAAAGTTACAGTATTACCTTTGTGGAACCATTTAAAAACGTCCACAAACGTTCTGTGTTTGCTGGGACTTAATACAATTATTTGATGAATCTTACTCCTTTGACATTGCTCATCTTGTGTATTTCTGTTCTTATATTGGCATCCTGAATAAAATCTAGGACCTCTTGATCATTTTGTAATGTAGACAGTGCTACTGCATATCGAAACACTGGCTTAGCACTTTCTTTTGATAATTATTATACTGTACTTACCCTTCAAAACATGTAAGTAAAGCATTTAAATTATCTTTTAAATGCTTCATACACGATTACACTATGAGATTCACAATGATGCTGTGTCAACTCTCTTTATGTACGAATGCTTTTACATATATATTGTAATTGTAAATGTAATTAACATTTAAGTGCAGGTTAAAAAATAGCTAATATATATTGGATCTTTATTTCATTACAAAGTATCACTTTTACAAGGGCAAGAGTGCTACACACTCACAATCGACCATTGAGGGTGTATCTAAACCTCTTGAACAACCTAAATTCTCTCTACTTGTGATACTTTACAATTCTTTCATGTATTATTTATTTGAGAGTAAAATACAATCAAATGTTAAATTTTCAATTAAATATTGTGTGCATTTTAACAATCAAATGTATATATTTGTGCACTTAGCAACAATTTAAAAGGAGGTTCAATTGTCCCTGTCATATAGGTTACACTTAAATAATGTAATACCTAATAAAATATACAATTTGTTGCAAATGTATGGCTTTAAAAATTCATATACGTTAAAGCTATGTGAAATTAATATTTAACATATATATATTTAAAATTAACTACATGTTGCCATGTAAAGGCATAGCCAGCATGACAGTGTTTATTAACTCAAGGTTATTTAAAGATCACAAATATGTACTGAATTTTCATACAAATCTAAAAAAGTTTTCCATACAAATTTTATACACAAAGCTCACAAATGCTGGGCTTAATGCCAAAGTTCAACTGGAGTGTGTACCACAAGGCCCTGTCCTAGCTGATCTGGTATATTTGATGGAAATCTTGCCCAGGCCATTTGTGCCAGCAACTCCTGGCTATGGTTTTGGCAATAATGGAGTAGAGCTGGTGGTGGGACACAAGCTTGTCCAGCACAACTCACACCAGGTTTAAGTGACTCGTGAGTCTGTGGATAATTAAGGATACTGGCTATCCCATGGCACCTTAGGCCAGATCAAGCCATCTACTCTTAACTATGGCAAATCAGATATAAATTATGCTCCTATCAAACTACTTCAAATGGTTAACTACTTTTACCATGCTATTAAATTCTCTTGGAAGGAGAAGAATCTGGGGTCTAGAAAATTACAATATAAAAGCTTACAGAGCTTGCCATCTTGATGAACAACCATATAGCTTAACAGGACCCGGCGTCCCCTGGAGGGGTGAGTCCCGCGACTTGTGGTGAGATATGGCATGGAGGAGGCCAGGGGCAGGCGCTGTGTTAGACACAAGCGGCGCGCCAGGTCCAGCCTTGCCCTCGCCCCCGTCCGCCCATCCTGCCCTGGTGTACACCATGGGGCAGCGCACTCTCGTTCCCATAACCTGTGTCACGGCCTCCTACTTTAAGGTCCGTCTATCGGCAAGGGTGATGAGGAAAGGTGGGCTGCAGCGATGCAGAAGGGACAGACGTGGCCGACAGGCGGGGGCAATGTGGCCGGCAGAAAGGGGCCTGCCGGCTCCTGGCACGGGGTGGGGTCAGTGAAGGCAAGGCGCAAGACGAGAGACCGTGCAGGCAGCCAGTTCCGCCAGGACCAGGGTCAAGGACCGGGCAAGGCCAAAGGAGACGCAACACTGATATGCTGGGGCCCTGCTAACCACTTGTTATACAAGTCACCAAAGGCAGTCATCATCAAAGGTCACCAGCCGTCTTCACTGGAAACACTTTATACCATTCTGGTGGAAACGAGTCCACACATATTCATAATTTCTATATGACGCACAAGTATTCTCAGCTCCTGAGCCATTGAGATGCTTGTCCAGAAAATTTACCATTATATCTCATCAACATGCCTGACATTTTGCTGAAAAATCAACTCATAGTAGCAGGTATAGGCCTCCTGATATCCTCCATTAATATGAAAATGAATACTCTATAATATGCAGGCATTTACCAATATCCTTAAAATTTATAGGGGCTAAGTATTAGCAATATACTAGAGAGTGTATCTTATGATAGTCCAAGGCCTTTATAAACATACCTCAAAAATGGATTGGAAGTTTCAAACGAATACAACACGTTACTGAACGACACCATATTACACGAATTGACCAAAAGACACTTAAATTGGTCCCAAAACGACTAGATTTCATACTGCCTTGAAACTAACCATTGTAGATTACACTCTCTTTTAGGCAATTGTATTAATAAATTATAAGCAATAAATAAATAAATGATAATAAATTATATGCTACGCAGTTTCTAAACGTGATGTACTAAAACTATTCTTTAAGTATTTTTCTCTTATTTCTTTGGTGTGGCTATCTCCTTACAATCCTTAATAATATCCCTGTTGTACTCATTTATTGTCATCTTGTTTACAATGTAAAGAATTTTCTTTTGAAACATTCTGAGATGCTACATTAAGCATGACACAAATCCTAATCTCAATTTTAAACAAGATGCCAACATGAGCAAGGCAATAGGGCCTATGTAATATTACAATGGCGCAGACTGATTACATTAGCCTGCTGTGGGAAAGATTGTTTTTTCCTATTACACCATACAGTACTTCTAAATCATCTATACTCGTATTCAGAATTTCAGTCATTATCATCATGCTGATGATGATAATTATATTATAGTAAGAAAATCATATTCTTACTATGTTTATAGAACATACTCCTTGATCCCAGTCTTAGTTTTATGGCACTGGAACTTTGCTGTTAGTTACAATCCATCTATCAAAAGCAGACAGTCTAGTAAACATCCAAATAAATGCAGTCTCTTCCACACAGCAGCCTTAACATAATGCAGCGTGACTGTGGTGCGTATGTACATATTGGACTAGATATGCTATGTCAGAGAAACAGCTTCATTCTTTCAGAAATCAGTAATTCTTACTCCTAAACCACAAGGGTGTATAACATGTAAATATATGAAACAAATAAAATAGACCAGGTAATGGAGAAATCATCTTGAACTCTCTTGGCACATTTCTGTCAATGGTTCAAAAGTTATGTGGATGACATACAGTATATTAAAAATGGGAGGGGTAAGGGAATTATGTTCCCCAAGAAGGTGGTTAAAACAATAATAATGACTAGATGGAATGTCTGAGATCATAGATGAAAGATCGCTGCAAAAATTGTAATCTTTTTAAAAAAATAACAAGTACACCTTGACTAGAAAATAATGCCACTTTGATCTGACAAACATACAGATGTCTAAAAATCTAAGCCACAAAGAAATGCACAAATCTTATTAAACCATTGGATACAAATGATTTAAAAATATATCATGATATAAAATTGACTGGAGATAAGCGTTGGTACCCTTAGTCTAGTGAATATGCTATCCACTGTACATATGATCAAATGCAGGGTCAATAGTCCTACCAAGTTACCTTCAGCATATATACACTGTGTCTTTATGAGACTTCCTCTATACTTGAAAGCTATCTAGCGCTTTAATCTATATATCTATAGGCATCTACAGGTATAGAGAAGCTAATCCTCTAGTTTGACACTAGACTAGGGGCCTCTAAACCCTTTGAGGCCATCACTTTGGTTGTCCAACTGTGGAGCTGGGAAGAGACCTTAGCGCCCTGGTCTGGTAGGTTGGGTCGTGCCCCGCCCGGCCACACGGCACGCAAAATGGCGTGAGGAGCACCAGTGCACGTGGCATCACTGCTACAGCGGCCCAGTTTGAAGCTAAGCACTTGTGGACAGTACACCCACAGACTACCAGGTAAAAACATGGGCATTTACTGAGCCATAAGACGACAGCCAAGGGGGTGGCAGCTGCGTGGGCGCCCGGGCACAGCGCAGGGCGTGAGGCAACAGACACGAGACACGCAACACTTAGTACCCTGAAGGAGCAACCCGTCAGCGGGGCGGGTTAGGACACATCCGGTGCTGGGAGATCCACATCACCCGGCCAACTCGCACAAAATGGCGCAGAGCTGATAGAGCACGTCTTAAGTATACTACTATTCTTAACAATATGATATAGTTGAAATATTATGATACGTAATATAACTTTAACAGAAGGCTTATTAATATTAAAAATATTGTTTCCATACTCTCAGTAATAACATGGCTATCAACATGTGAGAGGAGAGGGACCTTTAGTCCCAAATCCTTTTTTTTTTTTTTTTTGGTACCGTGCAATAACTCGGTACAGCATATATACAGTTTGTGTACACAGTAGCACAGGCCTCAATTGTGGACTTCCTTCAACCTCTTGAAAAAAATTATCTTTTTTTTTAGTAACCGTCTCTTGCCACCTCTGAGGCCTCCCGCAGCCTGTGTAGCAACTCAAGCTCTCTGGACTCGTATATGTAGCACTTGTAGTATAGAAATATGGGAATAATGTTCATCTTGCAGAGGAAGTTATATTTTTCAAGTATTTTCTTCACTACTTTTACTTACAACCTAGGCTTTGGATTCCTAATACTTCATACAAATGTCATATTCAAGCTATGATAAACACAGAGCCATCTTCTTCAAGAACAGCTTCACAATCAGATACCTCTGTGGAAAAAATTATGAGGTAATTTTAATTACAGTAAATGTTGTCATATATTTATATGTACATATACAAAGTGAATAAAACAGTCACTAACATTATTAAATATTTTGGTTGGTAAATAAAAATCTTTGGAAATCACTTGCCTCTCCTGACAACTTTCATCACATAACTCCCCCAACAACTTCCATTACTGACACCACCTGCCTCTCCTGACAACTTCCATCACATAACTCCCCCAACAACTTCCATTACTGACACCACCTGCCTCTCCTGACAACTTCCATCACATAACTCCCCCAACAACTTCCATTACTGACACCACCTGCCTCTCCTGACAACTTCCATCACATAACTCCCCCAACAACTTCCATTACTGACACCACCTGCCTCTCCTGACAACTTCCATCACATAACTCCCCCAACAACTTTAATTACTGACACCACCTGCCTCCCCAGACAACAACAACTTCCACCACTGACATCACCTGCTTCCCATGAGAATAATTTCCACCACCTGCCCCATGATACTAAACCGCAACGACTGACAATAAAGGTCAGTAGTGCCTCCTGTACCACTGATACCAACTCTCACCAATGACACCACCTGCCTCCCCTGACACCATTTTATCATCCTTTAACCCCTTCTCCTCATAGAAAATGGGTAAGCAAAATAAAACACTGTACAACTTTTTACACTCTGGTGAATCATAGTTGATGACAACTCGGTGATGACCCATAATGACCTTTGATGCTCGGTCTCGGGGACCTCTTGGACGAACAATCCTTGCCTAATCGAACATTTGTATGTTCCGTTGAACATTTAGTACAGAATGGAATTAGTTCGGACGATCAGGAAATTCGTTAGAGCGAGGTTCGCTAGAGTGAGGATGCACTGTATTGGGTATCTATTTGCATGGCATATTTGCAGTGATTTTGTCAAGACTCTGGAAATACCAAAGATTTTATTGCAGGCACCTTAGAATTGCAAATAATGAGCTTTTGAGTGTAAATAACACAAGAGTGTGAGAGTGGAGTGTATGTAGAAATTTTAATTAAAATATTCATAGAGGCGAAAGGAGTGTTGCCATTTATTTTTGCCACATCACCAGGGAAGCAAGTTGTATTTAACACAAATAATCAGAAAGTCAGAGAGTCAAAACAAACCTCTGTTGGCTTCAATAGAGACTGAAGCCTCGAAACTCACTTTTAGAACTTCCTCCAACTATGTAAATAAATGATCAAATTCTCTCAAAAGTAGTGTGAGATCTATCTCCCTACCTCCTCAACTCATTTGGGGAGATGAGGAGGGGAAAGGTAGCCCACAAACAGCTGGTGTCTCCAAGCTCAGTTCTATAGCATGGAGGGTTGCCGCTTTTCTGTGCTGGCTCTGGTATTCTGCTTGTTCAGTTAAATAATTACCTAATTGTAGTTACCTAAATGCAGTTACAGGATGACAGCTATGCTTGTGGTGTCCTGTCTTCCCAGTGCTTTATGTCATATAACACTTTAAAACTACTGACAGTTTTGGCTTTCACCACCGTCTCACTTAACTTGTTCCAACCGTCTACCACTCTGCAAACGTGAACTTTCTAATTTTGTTGACAGCTTTGTTTAGTTAATTTGAACCAATGCCCACTTGTTCTTATAGTTCCAGTTTTAAAAATTATTATTTGTCAATTTTGTTGATTCTTGTTACTATTTTATATGCAGTGATCATATCACTTCTTATTCTTCTGTATTTTAGCTTTGGTATATTTAATGACTATAACCTCACTTCGTAGCACTTGTTTTTCAGTTTCGGAAGCCATCTAGCTGCAAGCCTTTGCATCTTTTCTAGTTTAATGATGTGCTTCTTGAGATATGGGCACCATACAACCGCTGCATATTCAAACTTTGGTCTCACAAAGGTCATGAACATTTTCTTCATTCCATCATTCATGTATTTAAAAATGATTCTAAAATTGGAAAGTGTAGCATTCGCTCCTTACAATGTTCTTTATGTGATCCTCGGGTGATACCAGACTTCTTCAATTCCACAACTATGAGTATGTTTGAATATATATTGCATTTTTCTTGTAAATTGAATATATATTGAATATAATATTGCATAAAATATAATATATATGAATATAATATTGTTTGAATATATATTGCATTCTTCTTGTCAATTCCTTCTGATGCTAGATAACATCAGAGAGTTACATTCTAGGGAAGTAATAGTGCAGGAAGCTCCTTGTAACTAATGACAAGCTGAAAGAGGATTGACTTTCATCTATGAGTTCATGACAAAAGGGTACACTAAGCAAACTTAGCCATCTTCCAGGACAGTTAAACTCAACCAATCATAGCACCTTTCTTACCATGGCATTAAAACAAGCCAAAAATCTAAATACACCAGTATTTAGTAGACAACATCCCAAAATCAGCACCAAAATCATCCATATTGCACAACTTTCACCTCCGAAGTGCAGACTTCTTACTACAACTACAACCTATGTAGATGAACCCCATACCTTGAACAATAATAAACCCTCTGTTATGACTGCAATGTGGATTTTACATTACCATTTCAAGCAACCAACTATTAATCTTCACAGATGAATTGTGTGTTCTGTACCAGACCAGGTTCAAAAACTAATATTAAATTACCAGTCAGTGAATGCACAATCTGCAGCGACTCCGGAAGAGAAATTAAGTTCATTGCAAAGTGCTCCAAAACATGCAAAGAGGTATTCTACCCCAGCCTACAGCTTGCAGCGAGTAATGTTTATACTTGCTCCAACATCTCATTACCTTAATGACAAACCTAATTAAAACTAATTATGACTACTCAAATCCTTTCCCTAATTACAGGTAACACTCTTTGCATCCTGTTGGAGGAAGCTGAGGTGTAGTCACCGAATATATGCAAGCAATATGAGAATAGCCAACAGTACAGTTTCCACAGTCAAGAATGTAGCATTTGGCGTATGCAGTTCTAATCAACCCCAAGATGCTACAGCTTCGACACAGAACAGACAGCAGACTAGGACCGCATCGAGGTACAACGCTCTCCCACATAGAGCTCCGCGACTCCGGCCTCACTCAGCTCTCTGCCCTGCTCCAAGCTCCGTCTCAACGTCTACGACACTGCTGTATCTAAGACTACTAAATAAATATGAAAACCCACTAAACACCGTGTATCTAATCTACTCAACAACGTAACATAATCGTACGTTACAAGCTCCAGCACTAACATCACTCCAGATGATACAACATATCTATACAATGGGTCTCAGCACACAATGTGGAATACTCCAGAAACAAATTACTGACGAACTAGGTAAAGCATTGCATGCCACAACATATATCACAAATGAACAAATCCCCGATAAAACATGGAAAGAGGCCTTAAAATTCATGATTACCCAAAAGTTCACAGCGAACTAGAAAGCATCATGCTTCTCAAAACACTATGGAACCATTAAAAACACACATGGGAAGCTTGGAAACATACCGGGCACCAAAATCTGCAAAACAGATATAGCAGTGACAAGACAGTAAACTAGAAGTACACAAGTACAGATACAAGACAGACATCAATGAAAACTGCATCCACGGTTAAAGTTCCAAGACAATCGGACATTTCCTCTATTGCTTCAGACATCACAGCACCAGAATCAACTTTAAACAAGAACCTATCGTGATGCATCAATGAGCAAATCTGTAGGTGAACCTATGCACCGTGTGTGCCTGGTAACACCCAAAGCATAGGTTCGAACCCTCATCACGGCTCTTACAGATTTGCTCAATAATAATAATAATAATAATAATAATAATAATAATAATAACAATAATAATAATAATAATAATAATAAAAGCACTTGCTAAATATTTCCAATCCACCAAAAAGCTGGGCAAAATTTGAACAACACACACATGACTGATACTATCCTCACTACAAACCATAGAATACACAAACAATGCAACAACAGGAACAAAAGCAAGCAATTGACGGCATCAACGCAACATCCAACCACCTCTGCAAAGTGCTCACATCAAATGTAAATCCATGAAACATCACTAAAGTCTTACCTAACTGTCAATAGTGATGCACCACTGTGACCCGTCACCCAACAACCACTAGTGCAGTCACCGAGAGGAGAAGAACCTTCAAGCAAACTGCATGTATTATCAAGAAGAAGAAGAAGACAGATGCCACCATTCCTGAAACAACCATTAGTGGAATGACAGCCAAGCTAGTGCACTACCACTTTCTGTCTGTCTGTCTGTCTGTCTGTCTGTCTGTCTGTCTGTCTGTCTGTCTGTCTGTCTGTCTGTCTGTGTCTGTCTGTCTGTCTGTCTGTCTGTCTGTCTGTCTGTCTGTCTGCCTGGCTGGCTGGCTGGCTGGCTGTCTGTCTGTCTGTCTGTCTGTCTGTCTGTCTGTCTGTCTGTCTGTCTCTCTCTCTCTCTCACCCTTTCTCTCTCACTCACAATCTAATAAAGCTCTAGGGGTGGTTCTAGATAGAAATCTGTCACCTGAGGATCACATAAAGACCAGTGTACGAGGAACCTACACTACGGTTTTTTAACTTTATAATTTCTTTAAATACATGGATAACAAAATATTAAAGAAATTGTTCACAACCTATGTGAAACCAAGATTGGAATATGTAGCAGACGTATGGTGCCATATCTCAAGAGGCACGTGAATAAATAGGAAAAGCTGGAATGACATGTAGCTAAATGGGTTCTAGAATTAAAAAACAACAGCTATAAAGAAAGGTTAGAGGTGTTAAAAATACCAAAGCAAGAAGATAGAACAAAAGGAGGTGATATGATCACTTTGTTCAAAATAGTAAAAGGAATCAACACAACAGACCAAGAAGAATGTGTAAAACTGCAACTTCAAGAACAAGAGGACATAGGTTCAAACTAAGAAAACAAAGATGATGAAAAAATTAAAAAGTTCACTTAGCAAAATACCAGTATTGAGCGTAATAAAACCAGCATTGAATGTAATGAAACACTATTTTCTGGGTGAGACCTGGAGGCTCCCCGGGGCTTACTAGCCTGATATGCTAATGTCAGATTTTGGCATCAGTCATGTGTATGGAGTTCTTATGGGCCTACCGGGGAACACGAGCCAGAACCTGGCTCCCCTCATAAAAGGCAAGGGTAGCAATGGCATATAGAAACCCCCGTGTGGTTGGAAGCATTCTATGTCTGCCATCGACCGGGTCAGGCACCCAGAAAGGTAAGCATCCCAAAACAAACCCCTTTTCTGGTGAAAATATTGCTACCAAAAGCCAAACAGGTGGACAGAACTCCACTAAAAGAAACGAGCAAACGATCATGACATCACACATCGCCGCGCCGTTGTCTGCGCAGCTATCCCCCTCCCCGGGAGAGGGAAAGGGAAGCCCCAGACCTACCTGTCGGCTATCCACCCTTAGTTCTTAGGCTGGATGTAAAAAACACGCAAAAAACTGCCGACCGGAGGGAGGGAGGGAGGGATGCCGGGGAGCCTCCGGGTCTTACCCAGAAAATGGAGTTTCATTACATTCAATGCTAGTTTTCTGGGGGAAGCCCCTTCGTCTCCCCAGAGCTAACTACCCACAGAGGAAAAAACTTAGGAACTTAGGCCCAGGGACGTTCACAAGGTAACGAGCAGCAAGGACCCTGTTCGACCACCAAAAGCCCCGCGCCCGAATGTCAGCTCACGACGTGTTGCCAAAGACGGCAGCAAGAGCAGCGAACTTACGATTGTCATGGGCACGGGGATAGACCGCAGGCTAGCTAGCCTTAATAACTCTGTGGACAACCTGGGAGGCCCACACCCGCGAACAGGGAAGAAGGGAAACCGGATCAACCCAATGCGCGTCCCTGGACACAGAATCCGTGGCGCGCAAATACAGAGTGTAACGGCGAAGAGCCGCAACCGGACACAAAACATGATGCACCCCGGGCCTAATCAACCAATCATCATCAACCCAGGGACCCCTCCGGAAAGGAGCTGTCTCATTCGTCACCAGAAAAAGGGAGATGGCTGCAAATGAAAAAAAACATCACGAAGACCAAAAGAGCAGAAACCCCTGAGCCGGAGGAGAGCATGAAGCTCACCCACCCGACCCCCAGAGACCAATGCCAACAGAAAAAGAGCCTTGGAAAAACAATCCTGAACCGAAGGGGCCACAACAAACTGAGGAGAAGAAAGATAAGAGAGCACTCTGTCCAATGACCAGGACGGCTCAGGTGGCACATGAGCAGGCCGGAGATGAAACAATGCCCGAGACAGTTTGCAAAATGGTGCAGAAGTAACATCAATACCGAAAGCAAGCTGAAGCGACTCCGCCAGTGCCGCATGATATGAGGCGACAGTGTTAGGCATAAGGTGACGGTCCTGGAACAACCAAGAGAGAAAGGACAACACCACCTTAACAGAAAGCGAAGCACAACGACGAAGACGCAAGAAGAAATGGAAGGACCGCCAGGAAACTTCGTACTGTGGCCGAGATGAAAAACCGTAGGTGGGACACTAGCAAGGAAGCCACCTAATCACCACAGAGATGATGATAATTTGAGTCAAAAACTCCGTACTCAAAAACTGGAGGAGAAGTCTGTTGGAAGACGCGGAGTAGCAGGAAAACCTCCGGGTTCGGACATCGGGCAAGCAGTGCCTGAAACCATGGCTGGGCTGGCTACCACGGGGCCAAGAAGACTACTCTCTCCTGGTAGGTCTCCAAGCAAGTCAGGACCTGGAGCAACAGCTGAACCGGGGGAAAGAGGAACAGGAACCCCCACCTCACCCAGTCCTGCCAAAAGGCATCTACGCCGATGCCCTCGCAATCCGGAAGGGCGCCACGTACTGAGGAAGGCGCCGCTACCACGCCGACGCGAAGAGGTCAACCTCGGGGCACCCGAACATCTGGCAGAGCCAATGGAAGGAGTCGGCATCGACCGTCCATTCTGTGGAGAGGGGGAACGAAACAGGACAGGCCGTCAGCCAAGACGTTGGACACTCCCCGCACGTAAACTGCCAGGAGAGCCAAACCCTAAGAACTCAGCAGACGAGTCACTCGAAGCAACCAGCACCAAAGAGCCAGAAACTGCATCGAACACCCCCAGAATGAACCACAGGTCCGCACAGTCCCGTTTCAGCAGTGGAGACAGATGGGAAACCCATCTGAGGGAAGACGTTGTATCGACGATGCCCAAGCGAACCCACTCCAAGACGACTCGATGGAGCGCAGGAGAGAAAGCCTGCCCTGTCAGCCCTGAACCCCCCGAAGGGGAGGAGGGACCACCCAACGCCACCGCAAGTTGAAGGAAACGACCCGAAACGCCCACAAGTTGTGGAACCAGGCATGAGCAAACAGCACAAGCCTCCCCCTCCATTGCCCCATCAATGGGGCAAACCGCGAAACGGCCGGTGCCCCTTACGAGACCCAGAACCCCAAACAGGGTGAACACGGCACCGACCAGCCAAAGGCTATTTTGAGATTTATTTTTATTTTGAGATGATTTTGGGGCTTTTTTAGTGTCCCCGTGGCCTGGTCTTCGACCAGGCCTCCACCCCCAGGAAGTAGCCCGTGACAGCTGACTAACACCCAGGTACCTATTTTACTGCCAGGTAACAGGGGCATAGGGTGAAAGAAACTCTGCCCATTGTTTCTCGCCGGCGCCTGGGATCGAACCCAGGACCACAGGATCAAAAGTCCAGCGTGCTGTCCGCTCGGCCGACCGGCTCCTTTGGAAGGCGGGTCCGAAGGCGGAGCCAAACCCGAACCTGGAACCAGTAGCTTACCACGACAAGAGGAACCCCGAGCCCTGGCACGACCCCTCCAGGATGGATCCTCCCGGGACCCCCGGAGAATCAACAAGTCAGACATCGAACGGCAACTGGCCAAAGCAGCCTGAATATACTGCGCCACTGCCGCTGGAGCAAAAAGCAGTGGACAAAAGGGGTGAAGACAACCTAAGAGCCAGAGGCCCAGGCCGATTCCAAAGAGGAGGCAAGCACCACCTGTCGACATGCGAGCCAGGAAGCATAAAACTGAACAACCGCATCCCGCAAGATCGATGCAAACAGTTTCAACAAGACAGCTGACGAGCGAGCAGCCGAGCCCAAGGCATCGGACCCCAGAACAGATCCAAGCTCCCCCACGTCCTTCCCAAGCCAGTCTGAAGACAGATCCAGAAGGGAAAAGAAGTGCAAGGCTGAAGTTAAGAGGCCCCTGGCATGCAAATCCTCGGCCACCTGCGCAGCCGAAAGGGAGGGAACCTGCACATGGAGCTGCAGAACACTAACATCCCGGGATAGGGAAGGAGCAAACAAGCACTCATTGAGGTGCTCAAGGTTGCCCCCTAGAAAAACCTGAACCACAGGAGAAACCTCGCACCACTCAAGCATGCAGGAACGACAGAAGGAATGCCAGGCCTCCAAAGCAAAGACAGGACAGTCCGCCAGCCAGGACGACTCTGGAACCTCGTAACGGACCCAGAAAAAGAACAAAGTCCCAAACCTGAAAGACGATGGATCCATCACTCAGGCGTAATCCGGGTTACGCAGGAGGTAAGCCGCAAGGGCCTCCCGCACCGCAGCCGGTTGGATGCGGGAAGCCGAAAACCTCCAGAAAGACGAAACCAACGCCCCCGAGGGGACACAGAACCGAACCCGGGGAGGGGCAGACACCAAATCCAAGTCGTACGAGGAGGAGGAAAAGACATACTATCCCACACCTTGCAGCCCCGCTCTGAGGGTAGAAAAACCCAGGCGGGGTCAAGTGGGGTCCAAGGCCCCCAAGTCAGCCCCTCCCCAGCCCCAAGATCCCCTTCCTCAGGACTCGGAGCCGAGTCGTCCCCCAGAGCACTGGCCCCCAAAGAAAAGGCCGGTGCGGCCGAGTAAGCCAAACAGAAGGGGGCTCACTGGTCAGACCCAGAGGCTTCGGCAGGGAGATCGGACTCAAAGGCCTCAGTCACCACACCAGAAAGGGCATCCCCCGAGACCGCCCGAGACTCGAGACCATCTAAGCCCTGCCCCGACTCCGAAACCCTCAGACGTTTCAGAGCAAGGAAGGGTGTTGGGGGGACCTGAACGAACCACAGAAGTGGAAGGACAAGAGGGCGCGGAATGAACCAAGGTCGAATCGATCCCAACCCCCAAGTCCGAGTCCCTATAAGCAAAACGGGCCAGCCTCAGGGCATCTGGGTGAGCAACCAACCTA